AAATGAACGGGGCCTGTAAGCCCTAAGTTTTAGGCTTTTAGGCTGAATGTCCGGGACGGGCCCTGTAGGCCCGTGTGGCTACGCAGTATGCCACAGTGTGTGTGTGTGTGTGAATTAAACCCATCATTCACCACCATTAAATGCTCAAATTTTTACTTACAAAAATACAGAAATGAGATACTTCGTGTCCAAAAGTGAGACCACTAATCAATTTTCTCATTTTTTTTGGTTTTCAATTCAAAAAAGAAAATCTTCAACGCTGCCACTTCAGCCCACGTGGCCATTCAATAATTACTAATTTTTTAATTAGGGCACTGAGTGGGCGTCATCCAGTCAATTAATCATTACTGGATAATAGGTACTACCGTCTTCACCCGGTCATTATAGCCGTATTTGGTGCACTTTTCAGTCCAGATACAGCTATAATAACCGGGCGTTCTATTCGGGTGAAGACGGTAGTTAGCTAGGCTACCAGCCGGGACGCCCGGGTCACCTTGTTTGCCCGGGCGGTCCGGCCGTGCAAGGAGCAAAGAAGGTCTCAGCAAAAAAAAAAGAAGAAAAAACACAAGTTATGCAGAAAAATAAACTGAACAACTTTTGCCTCACGGTCACATCGAAATTCTTCACCAAATTTGAAATCCAAAATAAAATAATCTAAAACTTCTTTTTTTTTTTTTTTTCTTTTTTTTTTCTTTTTTGGCCCGGCCAGCCTAGCTAGTTAGGGCATTTCAACCCTCACAAGGGCAGCGTGAATGTATCTGGTCAGAGTCGTCTGGCGTCTGGGGAAGGCGTGCGTGAATCTTCAACACACATCTAATAAAAGTTGCTTGCCTCTTTCGTAAAATGGCAGATGCATTGAATCTGGTTACTTGCATAATTTTTCTCTTCTTTTTGTTCGTCGCAAACCAAACCAAACCACCACCACCATCATCATCATCATCATCATCATCATCATCATCGCCATCATCATCACCATCATCATCACGACGATCATCATCATCATCATCATCATCATCATCATCACCACGATCATCATTATCATTATCATCATCATCATCATCATCATCACCCTCGTCACGTCCACCGTCATCTCGTAATGCCCTTCCACCCACTAGCCACCCTGAGCGCTCCAATATAAACACACGTTCTATCCAATCCCCCATCACCAAGGTTCAAACTCATGGTCATCATCATGTCAGCACACGGTCATCATCGCGGCACCTTCTTCATCCTCTTTCTTTTTTACCCTTCCCCGAGCCTAACCCCCGTCATCATCACCATCATAACCACCATCACCACCATCATCCCCTTCATCATCATCATTATCATCATCTTCATCATCATCACCATCATTAAGGTCATGGTCATCATGTCAGCACATGGTCATCATCGCGGCAGCACCTTCTTCATCCCCTGTTTTTTTTTCCCCTTCGCCGAGCCTAACAAGTCATCATCAACATCGTGACCAATATCACCACCATCATCCCCCC